CGCAGCCAAATAGGTGTTGTGAGAAGGTTTCATTTTTAGCTGGGGAACTCAGGAGGCTTTTCTGACTGAAATCCTGAAGTCTACAGTATGTTTCAACCCTAGATAGCAGTTAAATTTTTGTTATTTTCAGCCTGAGTGGTGAGAGGAGGGGGGGCCCTGGAGGAGACTTAAAAAGGATTATTTAATCGTTGGCTGGGACGTCCCTAAGAACTCCTACATGGGCTGTTAAGCCCTGGGCTTAAGTGTAACTATCTACCCTAAACTATACAGAACAGAGTTTATCATGAAAGACTTCTAAATAGTCTATTAGATTTAAGTTCCCTTGCAAAAGCATGACGATTGGCAGACTAAACTGTGCTTCTCAAGGCCTATGGACACACACAAAAAACAAACACAACACATTTCTAATTGTGGTCAGTACACACACACACACACACACACACACATGCAGCAGAAACTAAAGCCTCCCAAGACAATGTGTATCCACACTCCAACGTTTTTCTATTCTATTTCATTTTGACAAAAGGCTGGTTAGGACCCACCACTATGACTTTATCATGACTTCAAGTCTTTTCTAAAGACCAGTGTGCTGCTGGGTCTACTTTAGGGCATGCTTTGCTCCTGTGTGCTGAGGAGCCTCAGCTAAACCAGTGTGGAAATATTTCAGTGAGAAGGTGGCAGGTGAACAAAGGCTTGGAGACAGTGCAGGAGTCAGCTGTGGGATTACCCATGGCTCACTAGGGGGAGTCCTAATCAAAGCATCCTTCTGGAAGGTTCATATTACTTCTGTGCCAAGACTCCAGTGGCATTCAGTTTAGGGCTGAGGCCAAAGGCTTAGGTGTAGTGGGAACCTGTGTTAAAGGGGACTAACTATCTCATCCACCCAGTGGGGGCGAGAGGTGGGGGGCTCTCTCTGTACAGCTATACAATGTGTCCCTTCAAGTCAGTCCAAATTCAAATCTCTCTGACCTTTCCCAGGCTGAACTAGGTGGCTGAATGTTGGTTTGCTAGAACTGTTAACCCCCCAACAACTCCCTTGATCCATCCATCCTTATCTCCATTCAGCAAGGTTAAAAGGCTGCCTGGGGCAGCATTAGAGACTCCTGACCTAGTCTTGGTCTGCTGACTTGCTCTCTCTTAGGAGTGCCTAGTGAATGGAACAAGAACACAAGCAGGGTGATTGTAGAAATTTGGGGCATGTATGCTCCAGGCACATGTGTGTGAGCTGGGTGTAAGAACCAACACTGATAAGCAGAGGAAGAGTTTCTGGTTTGCTAACAAAGCTTGCTCTTAGATTCCGACAATGCCATAGTCACAGCAGCTGACCTATCTGGCGGCCTGCTTCTCACAAACACCGCCCTGCAGCTGCCCAAGAACATGGTACCAGGACAGTTCAGAGCAGGGTGAACCACCTGCCAGCCAGCCGGGAGTCAGCTTCCACCAGTGCAAATGGAGTGTGCATTCATGTACCTTGACTATTGTACAATCAACATAGACAGCCAAGAGGTGCCCCCAAGTTCAGTAGTGATCCCAATTCTGATTAGGGTGAGCAAAGACACCTTTTTGGAGGAATGAGAGCTGAGCTGGACCTTGACAGACAGATAAAATCTCAACTATGCTCCATGGCACTTTCTGATTTCCCAAGAATTTTGTGGCCAAGATGCAGAGTGAGAAGAGGGCAAGGATCCTGAGGGTCTACCCAGAATAGTCCAGCTCAGTTGTGCATGCATCTTTCCAGGCTTGGCGTGAAATGCCATTTGAGGAATGGGAATCAGCTGCTACAACCATTTTCATACAGACCATCATAGGTTTTGAGGTGTCATCGCAGAATAAAGAGAGGATGAACAGAAAGCCCTGAGGAGAATGGATGAAGGGAAGATACTGCAGAAGGGAAACAAGCTTGAAGCGGAGGTAGGAGTATGAGTGCTCAGTGCCTGCAACAGAGGCATGGAGCAAACTGGAGAGGCTGTGACTCAATGGCTGCAGAAAGATGGAGGTCTCTGAGTCAGACGTGACCGTCTACCAACATCCATTCCCCTCAGCCCGCTTCCTTCTCCTAGGATGGACCCCAGGCTTCAGAGCTGTGTCTATCCTTAAGAAAGATAGTCTGAATGAGCCTATAAGCCTGAAAGAACAACAGCACAATGACGTAAAATTATAGGAGCAGAGAGTGAGATGGAGTTGAAGCTAACGCAGGAAACTAAGAACAGAAAAACAGGAGGAAACCCAGGTGTCGCAGAAGGAAGAGAACAGTTCATTATGGCAGAGGCTGTGCAGAAGATTCGAGAGGGGAATGGGGAAGGGTCCTGATGGTTTGAATGGATCTTGGAAAGGATGGTTCACAGAGCAGCAGAGATTGGACTTCATCGTAATGGGGTCCTGGTAGGGTTGGGATACCAGGCATCCAGCAAGATGGTGGAGTAAGGGAAGCCCTGACAGCAAAGTGGGTCCCTGGCCTGGGCTAACAGGCAAGTGAGTGTCACTTTCCCTAGGAAGACCTACTGCGGAGAGTGACAGAATGAGGAACGGTGACTGGGCACTCCTGTCCCTGCCAAAGTTGGGTTGCCTTCCATCCAGGACAAGGTGATGAAGTATCTTTTCCTTACAAACCAGGATGGTGGTCCTCTTTTCCAGGCATAGAAAATTATATTTAATTATGATCAGGAGAGGTGGAGGTAGGGAATGCAAAGATGAAGATGATGCAAGCTGCATACTTGAGGAGTCTGTTCCCATTAATCTAGCCCCCAAACTCCCACAGAGTCAAAGAAATGTGATGTGACTTCTAAACAGAGCAGGACCAACTTCTCCACTCTACCGCGATCTCCCTGGTAGAGTTCCTATCTGCTGGCTTGGATGGAGCCCCCTTTGCTGTGTACAACACATGTAAATATAAAAGGTTCCAGTGGATGGCATAGTGGTTACATTGTTGGACTTCCACATGGTTAACTGTGGTTTGGATTTCGGACTTGGTGGCTTGAAACTCATGTTGGGCATGAGTACATGACTACCTAAGATGCTAGAACAGAGAAGGGACTGTGGTGTGGCGATCCTGCTGGGAAGTGATTTCTTACCTTCCCTCTCACTGTCTCTGTCTGTCTATCCCTCTAGCAAGTGCATGCCCTCTGTGGCAAAAATCTCTTAAAATAAATAAATAAAAGGTTCAGAAGTGCAGATCTATGATGAAACTGTAAGGGACAACATGCTGAGTCTGTAGTTAATTACATCAGCAAGTAATTTCTACAAAAGTTTTTGGGGTATATTACAATAATATACAGAACAGACAGTGCCCCCTTAAGTAGAAAAAGACATGGAATGGTGGGAAAAAAACCAGTAGGTAACTCCGTCTATCAGAAATCAGGTAGATATGGGAGCCAGATGGTGGTACAGTAGTAAAACGAGATGTGCTACAAGGCCACATCTACCCCCAGGAGAGAAGGTCCTGGGCTCAGGTCTAGAGACCTCCTTCAGTATGCAGGGCATACTCATGCCCAAGATCCAGGGCTTGATGAGGTGGGGGAAGACTGGATGTAAAGACTTGTTGGGAATGCTTTTTCTCTCTCTCTTTCACTCATGGCAGAGATAAATAAAAACAGACAAACAATTAATAAAATGAAATCTGGGAGAAGAAGACTCGTCCATGGTTCCTGAGAACTAGTGATCTCAGGGAAAAAAGAGAAATGAAGATTTTCTACTGATAATTCAGCCTCCAGCCCACAAACTCGAGTGGTAGGGAGTCCCTCTAACATTCTCTCTGTTTCTTTTTTTTTTTTTTTTTTTTGAGAGATTTTCACTGTAGGGCGCGTGCGCTCGCCAGACAGACAGAGAGAGACATAGAGACAGAAAGCGAGAAATCACCGCCCAGGGGGGATGGTCACGCCGCAATCCCTTCTCCTCCATTCTCCTCTCGGGATC